TTTTTCAATTTTTTCAAACTTCGGCATAAACATTCTATTGGGTCTCACTGTTCCACAGCAATAAACTTTTCTTTCTAAAAGACTCTGATACAGGATGGGACTGGTATACCAATTATCTGTGTATAAATGATGTGCTTTGTCCAAATAAGGCTCCATCAAGGTCATTACGATGTTGCCTGAAGTTCCTAGATTTTCGTCGAACTTCTTTACTTCTGTTGTAGCACCTGTGTATATTAGTAGATCAAGTATATAGCCCGTTTCACAATCCACAATAATAAAAAATTTGATCCCAAATCGATGTCTCTTGGAAGGAATATATTGACGAAACGATATTCTTCCTTTGAAAAGCATAAGGCTTTCGTCAATCACGAGGTTTTGAAAAGGATACATACATTTTTTAAATACTTGTCGGTAATGATCGACAATGAACCTCATCTTAAATAGCTTATCTTCTTTGATAATGTTGGAGTTATCCGAAAAATGCAGAAATCGTAAAATTTCTAAAAATCTCGCACGGGACATTATTTGACCAAATGCAGGAGTCTGAATGATGAAATCTTGGGACCAATAATCCTTTATTCTTTGTTTTTTCACTTGAGGCATGAGTAGACAAAGACCCAAAAACAGGTAGATTTCATCCGTAGTTGGTGATGTATATTTGTGAATTCTTTGTGATGGATCTTCACTCACAATATAATGGTAATACATGCTTGTCTGCACCGCTATTTCTTCGACGAATTCTTTCGAAACAAAATTTTCAAAAACCTCCAAAATCGTTGGAATTTCCGACAGGTTTTCAAGTAGACAACCGGAATATTTCACATCGAAATTCTCTAGAGATGGTTTGAGGTCAACTTTGTTCCAAATAAACTTGTTTGCCAGCTTATCAGTTTTCTTTTTTTTGCTAAGTGGTGGATGATCTTCCTGATTAGGCTGATTATTCTCAGCATCTGAACCATTTTCATCACAAGGTACTTCAGGTTCGGCTAGTACCAAATTATTTTCTGCAATTTCACAATCACTTTCACCATCGTCATTGTCCCAACCGTCAAACTGATCTTCCAGACACGTAAAATCTTCATCATCACTTTGATTTAATAAATCATTCAGTTCTTGTTCCGTCAAATATTTGCGAGGCATTGTTAATCCAACGATAACCAAAGTAACACTAAACTACTGCACAAACAAGTTGAAACTCCTACATAAAACTGATAACAAAGGATCACGTCATAGCCATTCTCAAAATTCAATGAATAGTACTCATTCTTATTAGATCCGCGTGCTTCACTGTCATGTTCTCTGGGTATCCGCTTGAAGCGCGCCAAATCTCGGAATGTAATTCAATGAATAATACTCATCCCCATTAGATACGCGTGCGTCACTGTCATGTTCTCTGTGTCTCCGCTTGAAGCGTGCCAAAACTCCGAATGTAATTGTCGATCCCATATTTTTTTCATTGAGGCGTGGTCAATTTAATCTGACCAATAGAGGAAAGTCAATAAATCCGTTAGTTTTTGGTTCCTACATACGCCTCCATCAATGCGAGTTTGCACGTCTCCGGTCCGACCGGCTCGAAAATTTTTTGCGAGTACGCTCGTCTTTGGTCCTGAAAGGGTTAAAGCACAAGTGGTGTAACTCCATTTTCCATTAATTTTAGTTAAGATCTAAATCGTATTCCGCAACAAGTGTTTTATATTAGCACAAATGGTGTAACCTTGTAGATAGGGAACACATTTTGTGTTGTCAGTGGAGTCACCTATCAGTTGACAGCCAAAGTGAGGTACAAGGGATATACATCACTGTTCCTGCAACTGTTTTTGTTTTCACAAGTGTTTGTGGATGTTAATTTTTGATACATTAAGTTTCATTTGCATATTTAATTGTGTTTAGTATTTAATTGCGTTTAAAATGAGTTTTTTTGATGAAAAAGTCTCTCAGAGCCAAGTCTATTCGTTGATAATAGGGCTGGCGATGAATATTTTCCAACACATTCCGATCAAACAAGTACAGATAAGAGGTTATGTCATTTTTTTCAATAACATTAATCTAGCGTTAAGTTAAAAGTTGTTTTTAATAAAATGTTTTATTAAATCCAATTTGTATCCAGGTGCAAACTCGATATCACATAAAAGCAGCAGTTAAAGCATTACCTTTACCATTACCTAGTATGAATAAAATTTGATTGCAGTAAGACGTCTGTCCAGCTCACAATGCACTGGAGGTGTTAGATTTTTTAAACATTATGTTTCCAGATAAAGATATTAGTACAAATGGTACCATAAAAATGCTACCTCACTCTCCTGATCTTGCATCTTTGGACTTGTTTGTATGGGGTTATGTGAAGCAACAAATTTACCAACGTGAGCATGAATGTGCCGGAAATTTAGATGACCTAAATCAATAAATCATTCAAAAATCAATTATCAAATGTTGTTGAACACCCAAAGGCAATCATACAATAGATTAGGCTACTTACTGCTTGGCTGAAAGTGGTGGACTTTTTGAAAATTTAATTTAAAATAGATTTGATTAAAATTATAAAATTGTTATTTTTTAAAATAAATTGTTTATGTTTATGCCGTTAAGAATTTATTATTTACTATTAAACTGGGAATAAGCCACAATTAAAGATAAAAATACGTTTATTGAGGTTTCAATTTCCACTTCGGAAATCGTTCTCAAAGTGAAATTGTTCGAAGAATTTATTATGCTACTTTTTATGAATTGAGATTAAAGAAATTGTTGATTTAATCTAAGATATTAACCTGATTTTAAATCTTATAATCACATCATTGAAATATTTCCTTAGACCATCTAAAAAATAAACTTTCTTTCGACAACAATGTACAGACAAGACTGCCAATAGTGCTTAGGGGTCTATCACATATCACAGACATGTAGTTACATGTTATTCTTTGGGACATACAAGTCTATAATATTTTTTCTCAGTTCTTTGCGTTGTCTTAATGCCCTTTAGTTAGATAATTTTTTTTCCATACCTATGTATTATAATGCTTATCTGTATGTATGTTCTGTCCTAAAAATGTTCTGGAAGTCTATTACCATTTTAAAGATAATATTCAATAGCATGTAATATTAGTTGTTCAATTTTATTTAAATATTATAAAATTAACTTACGATATCGTTCAAATTTTGATTTTGGTCCAATTTTTTACATAATATAAAAAGAATTCCACACATATTAGAACTTTACATAGTGCAAAATTTGAATTTAAAAACACATAACCTTAACCTCTATTCTACTTTTCTTCTCTTTTTCTAATTTCTTCTCACTCAACGCAATACAATACAATCGTACCCTGATGTCAAAAATATTGAAACAATAAAAAAGTAAATAAGAAAATATACTTTTTGCGATTATGTCCAAATTATAACAGCGAGGGCTGTTTAGAAATGATCAACATAAAAAAATCCGGATCTTTATAATGATCAATAAAATTCGGTTCTAAAAATTATTACGACTCTAATAAAACCTCATAGCAACATAGTAAAGGGAGCTTTACATCTAGGCTATGCAAGTCTCATGCTATGCAAGTCCGTCTTGCATGGCACATCTCTTGCCTAGCTTGACCTTTTTACATCAGAGATATTTCTGTGCAATTTTAGATCCCACTTTCATTGTTGCCAACAGAGAAAATATTTATCAATTTGAGATTATTTTATTTTAAATAAAAAAATATAATTAAGTACTAAAATAAATAATATAATAAATAAATATACACTATTTATGGTTATTAAAAGGGCGAAGGATGTCAACCAAAGAACAGAAAGCATTGTTATTGTTGAATATTGCTGTTGTAGCAACAATCATCCATAGTCAACGACTCACCCAGTCGTTTTTACAGTAACTTTAGACATAGTATATCTATTTATCACCACTTAATAAACTTAATTTAAATCAAAACACAACAATACACATGTGGGTTAAGGGACGCTAAAGATAGAGATAAGGTTATGTTTTATTCTGTAATCTATTATAAATTGTTATGTTGGCAACATGAATTTTAACGATAAATTGCAAGAAAATTGCATGAAAAATAGAACATGTTCTAATTTTTCGTCTAGCACAGGAATTGCATGGAAATAGCCCGTGGGCATGCGCAGTTCCATGATCTGTCTTGCATGGCTCTTGCCTAGCATGAAAATAGCATAATGTAAAACTGTCTTAATACAATAACTATATGTTGTGCGAATAATTTAATATTTCCGAGGTGGAAATTAGAACGTCAAATGTGTGGTTTTCACTTATTATAATTGTGGTTTATTCTCATTAAATTTAACAGAAAATAGAATTAGTTTTATAACCGAAAGCCGTCTTATACACCGAACAATTTTATTTTTTTAGGGCTTTTACCCAGTCGATTCGTCATGTCTAATTGGCAAATTTACAAGTCTGGCTAATTGGCGCTGCCAAAGCCATATCACAAAAAAATACCCAGTCGATTTTAAGGCTAGGACGAAATACTTATAAGCGAATTGTAGAGGCACTACACGTAAAATTAAATCTTAAATCACTTTTCTATATTTTTATTTACTCGTATTTTGAGTATAAGAAACCAGTTCACAAAAGGTTCTTGTCCAGATGAATCGATATGTCGTGGAATGCAATTTTAGATTCCCCATGTGGGTCCACAAATATGAATTTTAGTTACGAACATAATATAGAGACCGATTTCTACTTTTTAATTTTATTTTTATTAACCCTTTTACTTTTATTACCCTTTTGTTATTTTATTATATTTCATTTTAACCTTTATCCACCTATAATCTGTCGAGACAATAACGGTACAGTCCATTTGGCGTGGACAAAGTGTTAATTTCATCACTAAAATAACCCGGAAAAAATATCTTAGTGATCCAGTCCCGTTCATCCGGATCTTCAAAAATATCTGTATTTCCCATGACTAGTTTTCGGACCAAAAACGAACAGTTCATGTTACTGATGACTTGATGACTTGCAGACTTGATGACATTTTGACATTGACGTTTTGAAAAAACCAAACCAGAAATCATATCAAATCAAAACAAAGATGGTTTAAGTTTTATGTTTATTTTATTGTGTTTCTAATTAAGTATAAATAATTTATGTAAAATGGCATCCGTAAAGGTAGCAGTAAGGGTGCGACCTTTTAATCAAAGGTAATTTTTGTTTTATATGGTTGAGTGCACAAAAAGTACAATGAACTTATTTAAGAGTTATACAATTTTCACTAATTTTAGAATGTAACCCTTTTATTTTGAATTAATACTCTATGTAGGAACTCTGTTTATTATTTTATATATTTTTATGCAATTTTTCTAAAAAATATAACAGTCTTTTTTTTTAATTTTTGCAAGTGATTGAATAGGATTACTTATTAGTATTAAATAACAGACCATTGATTGTTTTGAAAACTTATATCAGTATGTTATAATGTTTTACTTTTTTATTACTTAATTAGTCAAGTGTTTATAAAACATATTATATAGCAGATCACTTAATTTTTATGCTCATAATAATAGTCAACATAAGACCAACAGAATTAGTTAAAAATACAGTAATAGTCCTATTTTAAGTTTTAATATGCAAATTCCATAGGATTAGGTTTTTTTATTAATTGTTTATAAGTCAGTAAATTACAATATTTATGTGTGTTTATTGCAATTTAAAAGCCCTTTTTATTGGTTTTCCATTGACATTCTTCAGTTTAATTTACTTTTTTTGCTATGGATATGGATGTTGTCTGTTGTAAACCAGTGGTACTGCAGCCAGGAAATGTATTGTATATCTTCTATTTATTGATGATACCTGAAGATTCTGGAACCTTGTACCAGCTAGTGCAGGTCTATCTGATGGGTACCATATGTTTTTGGAGTTACTTGATAGTCTTCAAAAAGTGTTTTCTGCCTGTTCTTTAATGCTCCTCAGTCATGCAAGATATGGTTGACTGTTTCAAGTTTTCTGCTACAAATTCTGCTGCTTAAGTCTCTATGAAATAGTTCCATTGTATGCAGGTGTTCCCTGTATAACACTGTTCCGCCAGTCTGTTGAGTTCCTCTCAGTATTCCCACACTAGCCTAGAGTCCAGCTTCTGACAGCCAGCATATATTGATCCTCTTCAGTTCCAAAGCCCTCAAGTTAATTTGTCTTGCATAGGTTAACCCTTTCACTATTTTTGTACATCACCATGTACATTGAATTTCATTGCCTTATATGAAATTCAGAATTATTTATCTCCTAATCTACATTTGTACGTCAGAAAGTACAACCTATTTTTAAGTTTTTAGGTTGGTAGTAAGTGCGATAAAGTTTGACAATAGACGTTAGGCAACATTTAAAACGTGAGTGGCGTGTTGTGCAAACAGGTGCATTTTAGGTTATGTGATATATTTTACGTTTTCTTGTAAATCTACTAAAATTAGAAGTTTTATGATTTGCTATTGGTAAGTACATGTTTCAACGTTGGAGTTCCATAATAATTTATATTGCTTTATATAATACAAAGTCCACAGATGTAGTTTGAATTAGTATGTACATTACCATGTACAAACGCAGTTTGTGGACAATATATTATTAGACCATGTTTTTGCAAAAGTTATAAATTTTATTTCTATTTGGTATTAGTAGTGTCGGTATGGTGGAGACGCGAGACAATAAATTGTTGAGGGAGGGGCACCCCTAAAAATTGACTAAATGTAGTTTTCAAATTTTTAATTTTTTTTGTTTTATATGGATATTTACTAATGTTTGTCCTTCATGCGTTTGTTTTTGTTTTTTAGATAATGGCAAACGCAAGAAAAAATTCAAAAAGAAAGCTAACCCAAGAAGAACTTCTTTATTATCTCGAGAACGATGATGTTTCAGATATTGAGTACCTGTCAGATGATGATGATGGTTGGGAGTCAGACGAAATATCTAGAGAACAAAGAAATAATGACATTCTAGATGTAACTATAGATAAAAATAATGGAAAGGAAAATGAGCCTGAAAACAGCGACGTTGAAGATGTAGATTTGGCAGATGAAGAAGAAAGGTTGGTGCTAACTGTAAGTGGTGAAAATATGGGGGAAAATGACAAAGATGAGATGAAAAGGAACCAAACAAATTTTGAGAAAGAACATGGTCTTACTGACAAATCAAAAATAAATTGGATACAAGGGGAAAATGTACAATACGAAACAAGAAATATTCATTGGCATTCAACCGTTCCGACTACCCCTGTTGTAGATTTGCCACCACCAGTTGAATTTTTTACCAAATATGTTCCTGATGAGATACTACAACAAATGGCTGATATGACAAATTTATATGCTACACAAAAAAATATTGCTCGATTTCCACCTACAAACTTGGATGAAATCAAGACTTTTATTGGGGTCCATATTGTTATGGGAAACTTACAGTTTCCTAGAGTCTGCATGTATTGGCACCGTAGTATAGGAATACCATTAGTAAAAGATTCCCTAAGTCTGTCTAGATTCTACAAGTTGCGACAGACAATACATTTGGTCGATATTTTGAGTCGCAATGAAGACAACAAAGATAGGTAGGTATTTAGATAACAAATTTTGGTATTTTTTTTATATATAATAATTTATTAACAATCAGAATTTCATATTCTCAAAGTTAATTTGATAACAAGCACAATAACAAAAACTATAATATTGTACCCTAATATGGCGTTATGAGGTACATGACCCAGCGATTTCACCTCAGTTTCAGCGAAGATCTATGGGCCATAATCTTCGCAATCTTCTGTTGTTTATTGGCTGCAGTATGTAAATACCACGGGGCATTTGGTATGGTGCGTAGAATTTTTGATTGCGTTATTTGGATTATTTTTGTATTTGATTTGCTGGCACAACTCCATAGTTCGATTCCATATGTCCATATAGGTCTGATGACTGTTTTATAAATTAGCAGTTTGTTCTCAATAGAGAGTTGAGATTTTCTACCAATAAGCCAATTAATTTATTTCACTCTCAACTCAATTTGTTTTTTCTTCTTCAAAATTTGCTTCAACTTGCTTTATTTATATTGCTTTGTTACAGATTGTGGAAAGTCAGATGTCTGTACGAGTCAGTAAGAAAAAGATGCCAGCAGCTACCACTAGAAACTAACTTGTGTGTCGATGAGCAAATAGTCCCATTCAAGGGACAAATAAATATAAAACAATATATGAAAAACAAACCCAACAAATGGGGTATCAAAATCTACATCTTGGCTGGCCAGAGTGGACTGATATATGATTTCTTGATTTATCAAGGTTCAACAACGCCCATTAATCCCATTTACGTAAAATATGGATCGGCAGCTGCTGTAGTTATGCAACTTAGTGAAAGAATATCTGAGAAAAACCACGGCCTATTTTTTGACAATTTCTTTAGTACCTATAATTTGATCCAATATCTGGACTCCAAGTCTATATACTGTATAGGAACCATAAGAGTTAACCGGTTTGCCAATCCAAAGTTACCCAGCGATAAAGAAATGAAAACAAATGGGCGTGGTTTTGCTGCTACCGCAATTAGCAAGGACGGTATTGTCATCACAAAATGGTATGATAACAAGGCAGTACTGACAGCATCTAACTTCGTTGGAATTGGAGAGTTGGATGAATGTAAAAGATGGGACAAAACAAGAAAAGAATATGTGCAGATTCCCAGGCCTGAAGCTATAAGACGATACAACAGTAATATGGGCGGCGTCGACAAGTTGGACTTCTTACTAAGTCTATACCGATCCTATGTCAGATCAAAGAAATGGACTGTGAGAATGATCACTCATGCCATTGATTTAGCCCTGGTAAATTCATGGCTTGAGTATCGCACTCAAGCTATTCTTTTGGGAGTAAACAAGAGGGAAATTCTTGATTTGTTAGCTTTTCGCCAAGAAGTGGCCGAAAATCTAACCTGCAGTAGACATGCTCCTAAAAGAGGCAGGCCTTCAAAAAGCTTCGAGGATCCAGGTCCCTCCAAAAAGAAAAAAACTGAAATAAGGCCTCTAAAAGACCTTAGATTTGATGGATACCATCATCTTCCACAGTATGATGATAAAAAGGAAGCCTAAAGATGCAAAAATGAGGGTGTAAGAGCAGGACACATATATTTTGTCAAACATGCAAAGTTCATTTATGTATTTTAAAGGAAAGGAATTGTTTTTCCACATTTCATACAAAGTAAATGTTATAATTTATATTACTTTTGACAATGATCTGATTTATAAGAGTTTCTAATAAAAAATTAACACTCAATGGTTTTTTTTATTTCCATGAACTTTGTTTGTACATTGTGATGGACATCCTGTACTGGAAGGGTGGGGGTAGTTAAATTCTTTTTATGTAAAAAAAAATAATCTATAGTGCAACAGTACTTTGTATACCAAAAATTAGAATTTTGTAATCACTCTAAAGGGAAGTGATAGTGAAAGGGTTAAGACTGCAATGATCTCTGCCTGAAATACACAGTTATATAGACCTAGTGGAATAGAAATAGAAATTTCCACCACTATCAAATATTACTGCAGCCTACCTTTCTGCAGTTTTAAACCTGTCTATATACCAGCTGTAGTCTTAGTCAAACCATTCCTGTACCCCATACTTCTTGTGGGCAAATGTCTACTTGGAACAGTACTTTAAGCCTAGGTAAGGTTAAATATGAGTGGGAAGTTAACCACCCTTCTACTGGACCTAAGAGGTCTATTATGGTTTATTTTTGGTGAAATTTAATTTCTTCTGAATTCTGTTCTTTGATTTCCAAGGTTGTGATTCTATGATGCTACTTTCTAATTGGAATATCTAACTATTTCAAGACAGTTGTCTTTAAACACTGTCATAACAACCTCTTTGAAATTGTTTTTTGTTCACATCTAGATCTAATGTATGCCTTGTTATCCCTTTAACGTTGCCTAAACAATCTTAATTTGCTTTACAAATGTATAAATATTTTCTTTTCTATTGTAAAATTATTTTTCTTTGATATTTTTTATCTGTGATAAAAATAATATAGTATTTTTAATAATTGAATATCCAAAACTCTAAAACTATAAAATTTATATATAGCATGACAGCCATGACACAAAATATTATTAAAAGAATTTGAAGTAAATATTGTTGCACATATCATGCATAAATTTATGCGAGCACTAAAAGTTGTATGAC